GTGTGGGTGTGTGTGTGTGTGTGTGTGTGTGTGTGTGTGTGTGTGTGTAGGGACTGAGGGCTGCTCTGCAGGCAGTGAGGTCTGGGATGTCACCCCTGCTGGTGAGGTAGGTTGGGGTGTCTGTGGGGTGCAGGTCTGGGGAGAATGGGTGCCCTCCCAGACACAGTACCAGCAGCTTGACCAGCTCCCCCTTGTGCATGGGCTGCAGGTCATCTATGCAGGACTTGAGCTTAGTCAGCGCTGTCCTGGCATCTGCATTGACGTTGTACTTGCCCAGGGGCCCCTCATAGAGCTCCTCTGGGGACCCCACCAGCAGCGTTTGTAGGAAGTCCAAGAAAAACTCATTGCTGTCCTCCTCTGCGGCCAGCCCTGCATGGTGGGGGCGAGATCATGCCAGGACAGGAGGATGGCAACCCAATCCCGGCCCCTAACCTCCCCAGGTCTCCAACCTCAGAAGTCTCTAGACTTTCCCCATCAATGCCCACCTCACCTGCCCCAGCTGTCCCCCCAATTACCTTCCCTTCCCCAGGTGCCACCAGTTACCACACCACACTTGTCTCAGGTGTGCCCACAATTACCCTACCTCACCTGCTCCAGGTGTCCCCCATGACTACCCTGCCTCACCTGCCTGTGATCTTCCTCCACATCCCCAAATCCACCTGCCCCCAGACCCTGCCCATCACCCTAACCTCAGCTTTCCTTCCTCACTCCATGCTCCCTGGGTCACAGGTGGGGGGGAGGAGAGTCAAGCCCCTAATGCAGGGACTCCCCCTCCATGTGAGCTTGGCCCACCTAGGGCTTGGAGGGTGGGCTCAAGCTGGGCTGGGGTGGCGACTGGAGTTGGCAGGGGCCAGGGTTGTTGCCCAGGTCTGTGTCCTGTGATGGAGGAGGCGTTGGATGCCTTGGAAGGTGGGCACCATCCACTGTAAGGGGCCCAGTGCCTGGATTTTCAGCTTACCAGTCCCCTTCCACCCCCCAACAGCAGAATGTGCTGGAAGCACCTGTCAGCGCAGACTCACCGCAGGTACAGAGCAAGGTGACAGCCACCAGCAGGAAGGTGCTGCTCCCCTTCATGGCTGACAGCGGAGGTTCCTCAGGAGCTGCCTTGGCAGGCTTTATGTCTCAGGGCCAGTGGGCGGGTGGAACCTGGCCGGGGGCGGGCCGGCCTGCCCATCAGGACCTGGCAAGTGAGAGCCCAGGTAGGGCAGCGAGGGTGAGTACTGAGCAGACGCAGGCTTGGTGCTGTGTAGGGGTGGTTGACAAATGGTTTGGGGGCACGTGGACATAGATGAGGGGGTGACGCAAGCCTGGTCAGTGAGGAAGGACGGCCAAGGCTGGGATGCTCAGGGCTTCTGGCTTGTTGCTCAGAGTGAGGGCTCTGGGCTGGTTCCAGGTCTCTCTCTTGGGGTGGGTGTTCCCCCCCACTTGAGGAGACACCTGAGTCGACATCTGGCTCAGAGCCCAGGGGCAGGCTGGCGGTTTCTGCTGCCCCAGGTGCGACAGCAGAGGGGGGCTTCCCGGGGCTTCCCGGGGCCCGTGCATCTGGTTGCGGGAGCCGGGCCCAGGGCTGCAGCTGGGCTGAGCTAGGCAGCAGCACCCAGGGGGTGAAGGTGAGCCTGAGAGCACTGAGGCGGGAGGAGCGGGGCCGTCCCTGAGGCCTGGTGGGATGATCGTGTCCTCGCCGGGGAGGAAGGGGGGACGCAGACGAGAAGAGTTTCCTTCTGTGGCCAGGCCAGCCCAGGGAGCTCTAGGATTCGGGGAAGCCAGCTGCAGCCACCTGATGGAGGCACTGAGGGGCTCCTGCTGTTCAACTTTGAGGGATTTAAATATCAAAACAACCTGCTTACAATGGATTTTAATACATCGAACAACAAAAAGTTTCTAGGAATCCACAAAAAAAGAGAGAAGGGAAGGAGAAGGGAGTGTTTCTTTTTCAGGAGAATGTTGGGCGAAAAAGTATGCAATTAATGAGAATATTATAGAGCCACCTTTTTGCTATCCCTTATATAATAGTTTATTCAGGCAGGAATCATCAACGGGCGCTGTAGCCACGGGGGGCAAGGTAACTGGGGAACAGAATTTTAACAAACTAAAACTTTTTATATATATCTGTACATATACATATATATATATATAATAATAATGTATAAATCTGGTGGGAACCATCTAATCAAGTTATCAAACTCTGCATCCCTCTTGACATGACACAACATGATGCACACATTATTATATTCTGAGAGAAAGTCTAAACTGAAAAAAATTGCCAGAAATGGTAAAATGTGGAAACACATAATAAAAAAAATTATTTCTAAATTTCTTTAAATGAAAATTGGCAGATTAAATTTAAAATAACTACAAATCATGGTTTTATCACATACATAGAATAAAATGTAAGATCGTGACTGCAAAAAGGACAATGCAAGAGAAAACAAATACAGTATTGTTTTTAATAATATACGTGAGGTGTCAGCGTGAGAAACATTCAAACCTATAGAGAATTTTTGTGAGTTTATTTGAACCACACTGTCAACAGTTGCTGGGAAGCAGAATCTCAATGAATTGAGATAATGCTCTGGAGAATGGCAGGTGTTTGAGATCTTTACCCACTTTTATTGTGGTTGTTTTTTTATAGTCATTTGTTTATTTGGAGAAATCTGTGTTTTACAAGGATTTTCTCCCTGGGTGTGGATTGTCTTTTTATTCCTTGAATGTTATTTTACAGAGTACTTTTTAAGTTTATAAAGTCTACATGATTATTTTATTTCTTCATTAAACTTCATGTCCACAACTATTCCTGCTCCCTGGCTGTTTTCATTTCAATGGAGCACTTAATGCCTGAGAGGTGACTCTGGTCTTGAGGCCAGAGGTGGGCAGGAAGTGTATTTCAGAGCTTTTAAACATCAGGACTTTCTATTTACCGTTTGTTACTGATTTACAGATTATCTGCTATTAGAGCAAGAAACATAATTTATATAGTTTTAATCCTTTGAAGTGTGTTGAAATTTACATGGTCAGTTAAATACCATTCCAAGGGTGGTTCTCTGCTGCTATCTCGTGTGCATCTTGGGAATAGCACCTTAGTTCCCTTCGGCAGGAAAAGTCGTTGGGTGTAGACGTTGGGTGAAGGTTGGATAGTTTGCTGCTCACGTTTGTGAAGTTCTTTACATCCTTATTGATTTTTCTTTTGTGGGGGGCTATTGGTTCTGAAAGATGTATGCTCTGCTCCTGAAGGAGAGAGGTGTGTTAAATTTATTATGCTTATAAATTTGTCTATTGTTCCTTGTAGTTCTGTTCCGTATACTTTGATTTTCTGTTATGAAGTGCTTGTGAGTTAGAATCTTCCTGGTAAATTAAACTTATTCACACGAAGTGCTCTTTATTTCCAGTAATGCCTTTTGCCTTCAAGTCTTCTGTGCTATCATATAATTATTATCTGGTTTATGTTTGCTTAACTTATGCTTTTCCATTATTTCACTTTTGATCTCATTGTACCCTATGTTTTAGGTAGCTTTCAGTTTTTATATTAGTTATGAGTGAAATGAATTGATTTTGGTGGAGGGTATGATGTAGGGGTTCAATATTTTTTTCCCATTCAGCTGTTCCAACACCATTTGTTATGTAATGCATATCTTCCCACTGACCTAAGGACATGTTTTTATTATACAAAATTTCCATATGTATTTGAGTCTATTACAGGAGTTTGTAGTCTGTTCCATCAATTTATTCACAGGGCATTAATCAATTTTTAAAAATTACTGTAGCTTTGTAACACAATACATTTTTATATCTGTTTGGGGTAGATTTTATTCATTCATTTGCTTTTTCAGAATTTTCTTTTACATTTTTCATTTTAACATGTGAGCTTAAATGAGCTTGTTTTAGTCTTAAAAATCTTGCTGATATTTTAATCAAATCATATTAAATTTATAATCTACTTTGGGATATTGACATCATTATGTTTTTTTCCTATCCAAGAAAACGATGTTACTTTCCCATTGTCCAAGTGTCTGTTACTAGGTAGCATTTTAAAATTTTGTTCATACAGATCAGGCGCATTCCTTAAGATCATTCCTAGGCATCTTATGTGTTTTGTTACCATTGTGTCTTTTCTTTGATTATATATTCCATATACTGTTTAAAAGGATATATATTTATGCATGTTATGTCTCTCTCACTACTAAATCCTATTATTTTTAATAATTTTAAAGTTGATTCTCATGATAATAAAAATTATATTAGTTTAGCTATATAGAAACATGTAAAAATTGTTAAAACATGGAAAAATATTTGATGAAATGTGGTAATGTGAAGAGTTAGAAAAATTCTTTTTGTTAGTTATAAGTTCATTAATGATTAAATAAAGTTGTGACAGGATTTTTAGCATTTTAAATGAGTTCAAGGCCTGGACCCATGGTGTTCTAGAAATCAGAAATATTTTGTAAGTGAAATTGTGACCCCGCAGGTTATCTGAGGAACTCTCAATGTGGCACCTGTCCATATTTTCTAAGAGGGAAATTTTAGATGGTGAATTCTGGAATCTAAAAGAGTGAGATTATTGATTTTTAGTAAAAAATCACCATATAAGCAAGTAATCAGACATTTAATAGGAGGTAAATTTGGGGAGTACATGTACGTCATCATTTCCTGAACTGAGATTTAACTAAAGTATCTTATACTCAACTGAATGATTATGACAGTGAAATGTGGAACAGTCCTAATTGAGCTTGTAAAACTTTTGTGTAGTTTCAAAGGTGGGACTGAAGAGCACTAAGTTTTTGCATTTGGTATGTTGATTTTAGGCTCACTGTTAAGAAATAAAAATGAGAAAGAACCTATGATTGTCTCCCATCTCTTCCTAAGACATTTAGTTGGAAAAACCTGGTTTAGGAAGGGAACTTTAGCAGGAGTTTTTTGGTGCCCCTATCTTACTGCCCCTGTCCTCTAGTTTTTGGGATTGCCTAATGAAAATCAACATGTCACGTATCCTGCACTTTCCTAAATATCACCCGTTTCACCTCTGCAATCTAAGACTCGGCTTCTCCATATCCCAACGTTTCCTGTTCCTAATAGTTCCTCCTGTCCTTGGCATTCTTCCTGTGCGAGTTTTCCTTGTGCGCGCATGAAACTCACATCTTGTGTTGACCTGATCATGTGAGTTAGGTTATTAACCCAGCTGTTAGAACTCACAAGGTATGAGGTAAATAAGTACGTTTTAAATCCCCCAGTTTCAAAATTTAAATTTTCAGAGACACTTTTTAACTGAAAAAATGACTGTAAGTTATTCCAGTGGGCCCAGAAATACCTCAAAAATTTAATCTCTCTCCTTATATAAAAAAAGTTTTAGATCAGGCCTATTTAATATATTTAAAATTACATGAAAAGCTTTTCTTGATTATTGTAATACTACTAATAATAACTATGTTCTATTTATATACACGTATTTTTATTAAAATAGATGGTCTAAAAATTTCAATCTGCCCTAAAAAAAACTTGCAAAACTCAAAGCCAAATTGAAACAGGAAACTCCCAAGAGTTACGGACCCCTAGAAGGCATCCAGCAGCAATACTTCAGGTCTTCGCAGTCCACACGTTGGAAGCTGATGAATTACTTCAAGTGCTCACTATGCACATCTGATAAGCTATGGGCCATATTTTAAAATCATACATATTATTTGAAATTATATATTAAAAAATATATGGACTTTATATTATTCTCAATGTCATTTTGCAATAATTATGACATTTCATAATTATGAAAAAGCAAATTTTTGGTCAATTACTTCATAATGAAATCTATAACCATTTTGCTTTGTTTTGTCATTTATAGACAGTCATTGTTTTACTCTAATACATTGATAAATTACATCTTTTAAAAAAATCCATGAAAAGGCCCAGCCGGGCGTGGCTCGGCGGTTGAGCGTCGACCTAGGATCCAGGCGATCAGGGTTCGATTCCTGGTCAGGGCACATGCCCGGGTTGCGGGCTGCAGCCAATCAATGACTCTCTCATCATTGATGTTTCTAGCTCTCTCTCCCTCTCCTTTCCTCTCTCTGAAATCAATAAAGATATATTTA